AGCGCCGCTGTCGACCCCCATCATCCTTGCCACGTATAAGTATGCGCGCGCACTCGCCCATCACAAACCAGCAGTTTTCAATCATTCTTGTTCGAGACGTATGCGCTGGAACCGTATGGGTTCAAACGTTGCGCAGTGCGGCCCGCAAGCGAAACGACGAAACGGGGATCGCGATGTGACCCCAGCCAAGAGGCAACTCGATGGGAATACGACGTGATCCTCAATCCAAGCGGCGCACCGCTGGATCGCGGTACGACCCATCAGCCAAAAGGCGAACCAGGGATCGCGGTACGATCCTAGCATGTCCAGGGATCGCGATTCAAGGCAGCGTCATGGAATCACACCGTTGCCCATCATTCGCGTAGGCGCCCCTGGGACCACGACGTAGCCCAACCCGCCAATGGATCACCATGTGGTCCAACGGCGAGAGGAACAGTGGACCCACGAAGCGGCCCACCTCACTCACCAGAGAAACAATTTGGGACGAAGTGAGTGGGCTCTCGTTTTGAACCTGCACTTCGTCGCTGGCAGCGGCACTGGCAAATCGATATCCCCCGTTGCCCTGTTACCAAAAGAGAAACGGGCCCGATCGTCCTGTTACTTACACAGGGTCGAATAAGCACCGCGCAAGGTCAGGCCACGTGGGCCCTCCCCGCATGATTCTGCGAGGATTTGGAGGAAGCGTCCTATGATCTACCACCATACGTGTAAGGGTTGCGCAATTTCAGAAAGGTCGGGCCATGAAGCCTAGTGAGTTTTCAGCGAGAGTTTAGCTGGGAAGCGGAGCCGCCGCCTTTCATCCGTGTAATCGCGTCGTGGAATAGGAGGAAGTCTCACGCGGGATCCCCATTCCGAAGACATACCAGCCTCCATCGGTGTAGCTCTGGCTAGCCTTTTAAACGAGTTCGCGCGTCGTCAAAACGAGGGCCGCATTTTGAGAGCGACCTGGCCAGGGTAAGCTCAAGATGCGTCAGCGATGCTGCAAGACATGCTTCCATCCCGAAAAAACCTCCTTCCGTTTAACGGCTGCGAGCTTTTACAACGAGTGTGCACGGCGCCGACGCGAGGGCCGCATTTTGACAGCGACCAGCCCTCCATCGTTGTGACTGTTAGACGTGTTGGCTCTAGGGTAGTGAGCTGCATGGAGATCCGAAGCGAAACGCCCAGGCCTCGAATGGCGGTGCGGCATTGGAATTTCTTCATACGGAAGGCGTGCAAGAAAGAGGGATGGAGGAAGAGAAGGGAAGAAGAGAGACGAGGGCGAGGACGGAGGTGGAGAAGACGGGTGAAGAGGATGATGGGGCGAGGGGGGAGGATCATCACGGCGAGGATGAATAGGAAGAGGTGGAGAAAGAGGAGGAGAAAGAGGAGGAGGAGGAGGAGGAGGAGGAGGAGGAGGAAGAGGCGGAGAAGGATATATCGAAGGGGGATGAAAATGAGGAGCAGGAGGAGGAGGAGGAGGAGGAGGAAGTTGATGGTGGTGGCTGCGGTGGTGGAGGTGGCTGCGGTGTCGGTTGCTGGCAACCGAACTCGCTAATTCATCCGCTTAGAGCCCTGCGGTCCGTCGGTGTGACTAAGATTTCATTATCGCTGCGCGGTGAGGAGGAGAAAGAGAGAGATGAGGAGGAGGAGAAGAAAGGGATGAGGAGAAAGGGAGGGGGAGGAGGATGAGAAGGAGGAGGAGGAGGAATGGAGGAGGATCCTGCCTCTGGCGCCCTCCGCGGACGGGCGGCCGGCGGACCTGGAGCCCGAGCGCTACCCGCGCCTGGTGTTGTTGCACGCCCGCTTGCAGGAGGGCATGGCTTTCAGCGCCGGCGACTCAGCGTCGCCCTCGATTGGCCCGCTCTGGCAGCGAGGCGAGGCGAGGATGAGGAGGAGGAGGAGGAGGAGGAGGAGGAGGAGGAGGAGGAGGAGGAGAAGGGGGGAGGAGGAGGAGGAGGAGGAGGAGGAGGGAGGAGGAGGAGGAGGAGAGGAGGAGGAGGAGGAGGAGGAGGAGGAGGAGGAGGAGGGGAGAGGAGGAGGGAGGAGGAGGGAGGAGGAGGGGGGGAGGTAGGAGGGAGTCGGAGGGATGGGCGCCCCTCTAATTCCACTTTTCAGGATCCCTGTAAGCAGGGTAAACGGCTGGGAGGGTTGGGGGGCATGGGGGTGGGCAAGCAGCACGGGCACAGCAGCGGGAGCACAAGCAGCTGGAGCCCGCAGTCATCTACCCCGCCGACCAGAGCCCGGGAAAAACTAGACTCGAGCCCCCCCCTCCTCCTTCTCCTCCTCCTCCTTCTCCTCCTCCTCCTTCCTCCTCCTCGCCGTGAAGAAAGAGCGTCCTGACGGAAAAGGGTCCTAGACTAGTCTTCACCCCGAGTCGTTTCTGCTACGATCCGGGGTGGTTCGCGGAGGGCCCCAGGAGCCCGAGAATGGCGAAATGGAGGAGGAGGGAGGAGGAGGAGGAGGAGGAGGAGGAGGAGGAGGTGGACGAGACGAGAAGGACGAGAGGACGAGAGGACGAGGAGGAGGAGGAGGAGGAGGAGGAGGAGGAGGAGGAGGAGGGGGGGGAGGAGGAGGAGGAGCATGAGGAGGAGGAGGAGGAGGAGGAGGAGGAGGGTGGAAGAGGAGGAGGAGGAGGAGGAGGAGGAGGAGGAGGAGGAGGAGGAGGAGGTGGACGAGGAGGACGAGGAGGACGAGGAGGAGGAGGAGGAGGAGGAGGAGGAGGAGGAGGAGGAGGAGGAGGAGGAGGAGGAGGGGGGGGGGAGGAGGGAGGAGGAGGGGAGGAGGGAGGAGGAGGAGGAGGAGGAGGAGGAGGAGGAGGAGGAGGAGTGAAGAGGAGGAGGAGGAGGGAGGAGGAGGAGGAGGAGGAGGGGGAGGAGGAATGGAGGAATGGAGGAATGGAGGAATGGAGGAATGGAGGAATGGAGGAATGGAGGAATGGCGGAGGATCCTGCCTCTGGCGCCCTGGCCCGCTCTGGCAGCGAGGCGAGGAGGAGGAGAAGAGGAGGAGGAGGAGGAGGGAGGAGGGAGGTGGGAGGAGGATGAGGGAGGAGGAGGGAGGAGGAAGGAGGTGGGGGCATGGGTGGGCTGTCGGCCCGGTGGAGAATTGGTGCCACACCATCGGCGCGATCGGGCACACGTTCAGAGTGGCGGGGGGGTGAAGCGAGAGCCTGTTGGATCCCAGGATCAGGACGAGGACAAGGACGACGATCATGAGGAGGCATGGGGAAGGCCCGCCAAGGCCCAGTGGTACCCGGAGAAATCTAGACCATGGACAATCACAAGAAAGCCCGCAGCTTGGAGCCCACCGCCAGCCCAAACGGCAAGCAGAAATCGGGCGTGTGCCCTATTGTCCTGCTCCTTCTCGGCTTCGCCTCGTCGTCGGCGCATTGTCGTCGTTCTCATGATCTTGCTTCTCCCCCCTTTGTCGCGTGTATCGCTTAGTTGACCTTCCCCCCGACCCCTCTTTCCCTCCCGTTCTGCGATTGATTTCGCCGTGGGTTGCGCCCTGGGCGGTCGAATGCAAAACGGTTTGCTTCTGCTTGCGCCACAAGTTGAGTTGATTCTTGTGCGGGTTCGGCGGCCAGCCTCCAATCGGTTGCGCCGCAGACTGCGGCTCCGACGGCGGACCAGTCCACAGTTTGTCCATTGTTGCGCCCTCGGTGTCGCCCTCGGCGGCGGAACGTACGGGTCCTCTCGGGTGTGCTATGGGATGCGCCTGTAGCGGCCGAAAGCAGGACAGCCTGCTATTGGTTGCGCCATTGCCTGTGCAGTCGGCGGCCGGAAGTGGGACGGCATGCTGATGCACGCGATTAGTCAGTCAGTCAGTCAGTCAGTCAGTCAGCAAGTCCGCCTCGCGGAAAACAAAGCTGGGCTACGCACGAAATGAAAGCTTTCAGGCGTCGGAAAATAGGTGTGCCGCCGTGCTTCTCTGGATCAACTGACGCGCTCATCACCACCCCAGCTGAACCCTCCACTGCTGAGCGTCCGGTGAGGGCGCCCTCACCCTTGGGGAGATTACAGCGCGGCCCCAGTGCACCGTTCAGTTCAGATCTGTACCTCGTGGCCTCTTCTTGGCGCCCTGAGAGGTCCCGAGGGGCCCTGAAGAGACCCCTGGGACGACCAAGACTTGCCAAGGGCGGCCCAGGACGGCGTCAATCAGAAAAAACGTTTTCAGGTCGGGAGGATGGGGCTAGGAGAAATGATCAGATCACCAATCGTACCGCGTATGGTGAAGGCGCTCATTGTAGAGTCGTGGCTTGTATCTTCCAAACCCCTTCCTCCTATCACGATCATTGTCTTTCTCACTCAAGCTGGGGCACCAGGCTCCCTCGATGGCCCCAATGGCCCGAAGAAGACCCCCAAGAGGGTTCCCGTCTCCCCGTCTTTGAGCCATCTTGGGCCGCCTTGGCCTGGCTTGGGCGTTGCCCGGAGGCCTTCGCCAGCCAGGCACGCCGCTGCGCGATCCCGCCCTCAGCCCGTTCCGTAGTTCCGAGGTCAGCGGCATGCGCGCCGTGCTGCTGGCAAGAGTCAAGGCGGCGGCAGCGGGAAAAGGGTCGCCCCCCTCTTGGAGAAGGAGGAGGAGGAGGAGGAGGAGGAGGAGGAGGAGGAGGAGGAGGAGCAGGGAGGGAGGGAGGGAGGGAGGGAGGGAGGGAGGAAGGAAGGGGTAGGGGGTAAGGACTGGTGAAATTAGGCGGGAGGTGTGCGGAGGGAGGAGGAGGAGACGGACGATGATGAAATTGCCTCCTCTGAGTTCTGCGAGTTCCTGGGAAAATCTGCACTCGTCTCCAGCTTGGCACGACCCCAAACTCCTGACTCGTCAGCATGCTTGCGCCGTGTGGGTAGCCGTCTTCACAGCGCGAGGCTCCCACATGTGTCTGACGACTTTCGTGTTTGTATTAAGAAGATTGGTTGCACCTGATGTGTCTTTTTGTTCGAAGCGGACTGTATCAGGTATGGCATCGCTTGTTGCAATCCTGCCTCTGCCTTGTGGTCTGCACTCGCAAGGACTCTGCCTCCGTAGCCCCTGTTGGCTCCAGCAGGGGCCAGGGACGGCTCAACAGCTGATCCGGAGATTTCAGTCCACGGTAGCCCCCCGGCCGCGTCGAACGCGAAGGCCTGGGAATGGCGGACGAGGAGGCGACAGCAAAGGCGCCGTTGCCCGAGGTCAAGGTCGCCCCTGCCCCGGAGGGTGCCACGGAGATGAAGGTGACCATGAAAAAGGGCACAGGCTTCTACATCAACGCGGCCTGCAGCTTCCTTCGGGGCGTCGACGCGAAGCCGGCGGCGGACGGCAAGGAGGCGCAGGAGGCGAAGCCGTCGGTGGAGTACTTGCGCATCTCCGGCCTCGGAGACGCCATCCCCGCGGCCATCGCCTCCGCCCAGAAGACGGTGAACGTGGACCTCGGCAGCATCATTAAGATCCAGACGGCCTACCCCAGCATGGAGGGCTCGGGGCGGGGCTGCGCGCAGATCATCATCGACCTGAAGCGCAAGTGAAGGAGCGGGCCTGAGCGACCGCCGCCCAGCGCTTCTGCTCGCGAGATGGCTCGGGCGTCGAGTATGGGGGGTGCGATAAATGGGGGGTGGGTAACAAAGGTGCACCTTTTGTGCCCTCAAAGGGCCCTTCAGGGCCCTCTTGGTGCCGAAAAGGGGCGCGAAAGGTGCACGTTTCCCCTCACCCCCCCATTGATCGCCTCCCCATTAATTGACGCCCGAATGGCTCCCTTCCCCTCCCGCTTCGTTGCCTCCTCCCTACCACCCCTTCGGTACCCTTGAGGAGCTGCCGCTATTCCGCAGACCTCCCCCCCCATAAAGAGGGAATTCGTGAGGCTTCGTAGCCCACGACGACACCCCGACCCCCGACCACCACGGGAGTGCGTCAGACCTGTCGAAAGAGTGCCGCGATCGGGGCTGAGATGTGGGGGGAGCGGCCCACGCTCGGCCGGAATCTCACCCCCACCCCCGATCCCTGCACCCCGCCTGCCAGGGATTCCCGCGGGTGCCGCTGTCGGGGGTGGGGGTGTCATTTGGGGTCATGGTGTCTTTTGGGCTTAGTTGGGATCATTTGGGGTGGGGGTGTCATGTGGGGTCATTCTGGGATGGTGGAGCGCAGGAGAAGAAGAGGATAATGAACGACATGACGCGGAGGAGGGGGGCAGAGGTGGTCGGTCGGTCGGTCGAGGGCCTTGAGTGATTCAGCCTGCTGAGCTATCCCAGGAGCTCCAGAAAGAGGAGGAGGAGGAGGAGGAGGAATAGCTCCAGGAAGAGGACGAACAACTTGTTGGTTTCTGTTTCGTCAGGACACCAGCCTCGAACGGCCAGCCGTGCTTGTCGACGGAGGAGTTCAGAGACCAGCCGGCTGTCTCCCGGCCATCGCGCCTCCTGGGTCGTCTGGGTGTTCGACCAGGCTGTGACCTCTTTGTGCGTGCGCCGGCTCTCTTCTTTCTCCCCTCATCTTGCATGCGGGACGATTCGCAATGCCATAGTCCAGATTGCTTGGTCGCGCGAGCGGATCGCCCTTGCCGCGCCGCGACGCAAAATGTGCGCGCGCCGGGTCACTTGGGGGCCATCTCGCGGCCGTCTTGGGCGCTCATGGGGCCTTTCCTTGGGCCCTATTCGGCTTCCAGGGAGCAGGATCCCTTTTGGAGTCGCGGCCGCGCGCAGCGACTGTCGGCGGAGTCCTGCACGGATGTCTAGCGTCCCAAACCAAGAGTGTATCTCACGCTTTGTCCCAAGCAGCCCTGAACAACCAAAACAACTTTTATGATCTATGTGTCGCTTTGTTTTCGTCGCCCCCAGTTCTTCGTAGTTTCTGGCCTCCGGGACCGGTTTTCGGGCCCCGGGACCGACAGGAACGGACCCGGGATGAAAACCTATCGAGAAGTCCTCTGGACGATTCTTCGACACGAACTGCAAACGTTGCGTTTTTTTCCAAGTGGGGGGGGAGTGTAAGAAGCCCGGGCTAGGACGCGCAGGGGGCGCTTGCGTCGTCACGACAGGGGCCGTCCGTAGTTCCAGGCTCTAGTAGGTTTGGCCAGCGAGTTCATACCGAGGGTCGACAAAGTCCTCGGCGATCCCTCTTGTATTCCCTTTTGTTCCGTGTCACGTGCAATCAACGCGCATGGTAAGGCTGAGTCAGCGGCTGAGTGCCATTCCCAAGGGTACCCTTGCATCCTTGCCTGTCCGACCTGCCCGTAGGCAACCCTTGGCGTCCACGGGGTTTGCATCCTTGCCGCGCACCCTTATGACGACCGTTGGTTCTACTCTCTCTCCACAGCACAGCAGGGGGGAAGCACTGCTCGTTGCTATCGTTGCTGTCCTGGGCGGGGACGCGCAGGGCTCACCCATGAGGAAGCGGGACGCACACGATGTGGCCGGCCTGGGCGAGGGCCACACGCGCGGCCACACGTCGCTCCCGCGCTCGGCCTTCGTGTGGCCAGGCACGGCGGTCCTCGCCCGTGCTCTCGGAGGGCGGCCTGGCCCGGGCCCCGCCGGCCTGCCGCTCTCGGCCTCGTGGACGCCGGCCGGCGCCCGAGGCCTGCGCCCAGCCCGGCCGGACCGCGGCGCGCCCTCCGAGGGCGGCCCGGGGGACCACCACCACGGCACCCTGCAGCGGGCGGCGAGATGTGCGCCCTGCCCTGGCCGATATCAGCGATTCGGGCAGCTCGGTGTGCGGCGGGGGCAGGGCGCAGAATGCGTCAGAGGCGTGGCGGGATCCGGGCCCTGCTCCCGCCTCCCATCGATTCAGGAAAGTCGGTGGTTTAGCGGGGGGAGGGTTTGGATGTCGCCACCTAAGCAGGTGGCCCCCGCATGTTCCACATGTGCACCCAGGTAGGGGTGTTTCCACCTTCTGGGATTCTTGGGTTCGTCGGTGCCCGTTCGGCCCAAACTGTTCTTCAATGTGTTGCTCCCCTCTGGAGCCTCCCTGAGAGGCTCCTGTGCCACCGTGGAACCATCTTGGGGCCAACCATCGTGGAGAGCATCTTGGGCAGTCTTGGAACCCATCTGTGGCTGCCATGGCCACGATGGGGTCATATTGGGCCAGCTTGGCAGCCTTTAAGTAAGCCTGGTGTGAACATTGGGGCGTGTTCTATCCCAGGAGGTGCGTTGGGGAACTCGGGTGGTTTCCACGACTTTGTCGCGGGAAGGCGTCAGAGAGGGAGGGGGGCAATATTGGTGCGTTGGTACCTTTTTCGGTGTCTTCCCCGCTCCTTATTCTTCTTCCAGCGGCGGCTGCGCTCTTGGCGGCGTCTCGTGTGAAGTTCCCGGTTAGCCCAACGGTCTTCAGTCTCACGTCGTGCAGCCAGTTGCGCGCCGGTCTTTTTCTGTAAGGAAGAGCGCTGGAAACGACAGAGCGGAAACACGAGTTTTGCTGATCCAGTAGTGCAGCCAGCGCGGCCGCGAGAGCGTCGTCCTCTGGGCCGGAGGCTGACTGGAAATCGCTACGTGTGGCAATTTCTGCAACGAGAGCCACATTCGCACTGGTGCAGGAGTACGGCCAGCGCTACGGTGAGAGCGACGTTTCATTGGGCGGGCACTCGATAGATTCGGAAACGTGGCAAATGCTTTTAGCGGGAACAGTTCTTCGGCTGATGTAAGAATACGGCGAGCGATTCGGCGAGAGCGACGCTCCGTTGGACCGAGGTTCTGTGAGCATGTCCCAAACTGCGCTCGCACTTTGGAGTTCTCCCGTGACTCACTGAGTAATTGAAAGTGTCCACCGAGCACGTTCCACGTTCCCGCCATTGTGCGCTCTTGGGCGCCCCGTGCCTTGGGTGGGTACGCGAGGTTTCGCCTGGTGCCCGCCAGTGGGCGCCTCATGGGCGCCTCGTGGGCGCCCCGTTCCCTAGGGCGGTCCGCCGAGGTTTCGCCTCGCGCTTAGCCGTGGGCGCCTCGTGGACGCTCTCGGGTGCCCCGCGCCCTGGGTGGATCCTCAGAGGTTTCGACTGGTGCCGGCCCCAAGCGCCTCGCGGGCGCTCCGTGCCTTGGGAGGATTCGCCGAGGTGTCGCCTGGAGCCCGCCTGTGGGCGCCTCATGATCGCACCGTGCCCTTGGTGGGTACAAGACACCTTGCACAGCACAGCTCACACCGCATAGCTTGCGCAGCGTAGCTCCCTTCACATGGCTTACACACCAGAGCTTGCACGACATCGGTCACATCATACCTCACACGCCATAGCTAACATCACATAGCTCACTCCGCGTAGCTTTCACGGTCACTGCGCAACGACTCACAGTTTGGGGTCTACAAGGCCTCACATATTTAAGTCTGGCAAGCCCTGCAGCCTGAGGGGCCGAGAACGTTCTGATTTGGAAGGCCAGATCGGGAACCTCCTTTGGGAACAGTTCTGTCTCGCGCGCCTGGAGAGGGGCCTTGGGGCAATCCCCATTCAAGATCGTAGCACCGCATTGCCTCTGGCGCAAGTGTTTCAAACGGGGAGGAGTGTTCAGAATGAGTAATTGCACAGCCTATGTGGGAGTTCCCTATTGGATGCCTCTGCGGATCTCTTGGGAGGCCTCTCGGACGCCTCTTGGAGGCGGGTTTTGGGTGTGTCTCGGGGGCTCTCGGGGGCTCTTATGGGCCTCCTGGGGCCTGATTTGGGCCTCTTGGGCGCCTCCTGGGGCTGGGCGTGAGCAGAACCGATCAAACGGAGAAACCCACGCCCATGCGATGAGAACCCCTGCGTCCCCCAATGTCAGTATTGAAAACGGGTGTGTCTGCGGGGTTGAGTGAAGGGCCCGGGCGCTAATTATACCGATGATTGCACTCCTACGACGGCCGAAAAGGAAACATTGCAATGTGGGCTCTGGGGCTGGCCCCGTCGAAGCAACATCTTTGGATGGACGTTCTTCACGCTATCATCGGTATTGAGGAATTGCACAGCCTCCGTGGCATTCCCCTCCCCATTGCTGGGGGCCCGCGGACTCTGGGGCGCGGACGTGCGGGCACTGGCTCGTAGGTTGCGAGGCGTGCGCTCGACTGCTATTCGTTTCAATCTGTAGCCATCAGCAGGAAAAGATGCGGTGATTCGGCCGTCTGCTGGCACGGGGGTTAAGAACAATCCCAGCGCTGGAGGGATACCAAATTATTGACGCTTCGCGTATCCTCACCAGCCCATCCAGATACGATGCCCATGAGAGCTGGCGGGGGGAGAGAAGGGGAACACGCATAGTCGAACAGCGAGGGAGGGTTCCCCTCCCCGAAGGGAGGGGTTGTGGAAGAGGAAATAGGCCCTCCTTAGACCACTTGTCGCCAAGAGGGCCGGTGGTATTTTCTTCTCGTTCGGGTTCCCCGCCTTGGGGTGCTCCCTGCTTGGGAAATCTCCACGGGGTCTTGGGCCCTCGGCGAATGGCGGCTGCCCCCCGTTGGCGTCGATCTCCAGCGCTCGGCACCCCCCCCCGCCACCTGCCCCGGGGTGGTGCCTGCAGCCGCGGAGGGCCCAGCGCCCTCCGGGCGCTGCCCCTGCAGGTCTGGCCACGGCTTCGGGGAGCTGTGGTCCCTCTGCCCTTCAGTCTGGCATGTCCCTCTACAGGAGGAATATCGAACACAGTCAACACAAATAATATGGGGACGATTCCTTTTATGTTTTGACATTTTTTCCATAGTGTTTGACTACCTCTACGGCCACCCTTCGGGTGAGAAGGAGGTTGTGGGGGGGGAGAGGGGGGGAACCAACATCTGACTCAATCGATCTCACTATCGATCCTACTCAACGGGGCACCACGGGACGCTTGTCGTTCTCACTATCGATCTCACTCAACGGGACACCACGGGACACCGCGGGACACCTGGCGATCTCACTATCGGTTTCACTATCGATCTCATTATCGATTTCACTCAACGGGACACCATAGGACACCACGGACACCTCGGACACCACATCGATCCCACTATTGATCTCACTACCGATCTCATTCAACGGGACACCACGGGACACCTGTCGCTCTCACTATCGATCTCACTATCGATCTCACTCAACGGGACACCACGGGACAACTCGGGGCACCACATCGATCTCAGTATCGATCTCATTATCGATCTCACTATCGATCTCACTCAACGGGACACCACGGGACACCACGGGACACCGCGGGACACCGCGAGCCTCCGCCAGACGGACGGACGGACGGGCGGGACACCACGGGACTCCGCTAGGGCCACCGCTAGGGCCACCGCCGAACGGACGGACGGGCGGACGGACGGACGGGGGAGCAACATTGATTTTGACTTCGCCTCAGCAACAGCGGACACCACGGGACACCGCGGGACACTGCGAGCCACCGCCAGACGGACGGACGGACGGGGGAGCAACATTGGTCTTGACTTCGCCCTAGCAGCGGCGGGTTCATTCCTCTCGCGCGCCCACGCAGCTTCGCCTCGCCCGCACGCACGACACGAACGAAACGAAGCGATTTCCCGGTTGGGGGTCTCCGTTCCACTGCGATCTCACCCCCCAACCTCCGATCTTTTATTGTTCTTCCCAAATCCGCCTGTAGGAGGACATGCCCGATCTAACTCTACCCCCATCAGTGAGACCCATCGGTATGGACACGATCGGCCCTACCAGGAGGGTAAGGAACGCGGCTCCCCTAGTCATGGCTGGTCGGCTTTGGCCGCTTCATTCCGCTGGCCTCCTCTTCCCTGATTCGGAGCGTGCCTCCGCACATCCGTCGTGCGTCGCATTCTCGATTTGGCATCCCGTTCGCAGGTTTCATGCGGAACCGCGCTATGGACATTGTTTCGGCATGCGTTTTGCTCCTAGCGGGACTTCTTCGTCAACCATCGTCCACAGCTCTTCTGATCAACTTCGTACGTCAACGTCAACGTCGTTGCTTGCCATCGGCCCTCCTTGTGCACTTTTAGTATGGCTCGCACATGGCCTCGAGGATTCCCTCTAGGCTGACATCCAAGCATCGCGCATTGGGACTTCAACACCTCCCTGACGCTTGCCTCCTTTATGTTGTTGTCCAGCATTCCAAGCACCCCGATGAGAATCTCAACCTCTGGACTCAGCAAGGCAAACGTCAGGTTAAAAGATTGCATGCTGATTAATATGTTTCGCAACCCCAAATGTATCTCAAGCTGATTCGGGTGCGTGTTTGCACGGCTCCACTTGGCTGCAAAGTATCTTCTTAGCATGCAGCCCGTCTGCATTACTTGGCGTTCTATTGTCAACACTCCCCCTGGACAAGGCACCTTTCGAAGGGACCTCGGATCCCGCACTCCTAGAAGACGAAGCGGGAATACTCACCATTAGTGATGACAGCATGGTTCGAATTGTTTGGCCTCAGATCGGGTTCCAGCTCGTCTGGTTTGGGCAGCTGTCCTTTGTGTCTCAGAGCCGGTGTCAACAATTTTTCTTCGTTGAACATTTCCATCGCACCCTGCTATATCCAAGCTCTCCCGTTCTTTATGTTTTTCTTTCATTTTATATTTCTCTGTTTCTTCCTCTCTCTCTCTCTCTCCACTGGCGAAGGAGGTGCTCATTCTCCTGCCGGTAACCCCCCAGCACCGTGCCATTGCTGCCGCGAATTCTACATCGATTGTGGCTTGGGAACCACGCGCGCCTCTCGGGGCCTGGGCGAGAGTACCCGTGAACCAGCTCACGACGTGCTTCTCGCGTTCTCGCACGTCTTCCATTGGGAGCGCGGCCGTTGCCGCTGCGTCTGACAGCCGACTGCCAGAGCCATCGGTTCGCCTTGCTGCTTAAGCCATTGCCAACCGAAGCACTTCCTGTGACCCTTTGTAAATCGACGGCGTACGCGGTCTTACGTCGAAACAGATCTGGGAGACTAATTGTGTGTACATCGCATGGCGGCGATGATGAACTCGTCATCATTGTAATATGTGTCTAACATTCAGGGGGTTTGGGAAACATGTTATTACCAAGAGTTGGTTGATATTCAATAGAAGGTGAGCATCTCCGCGGCAAGCGCTCGTTATGGATTGTTTCTTCTAGGTGGTCGTTTAATCATAAGAACCGTGTGCTTTCTTGCACGTGCAACAGTGTTTTGCTTGAGGCGGTTGAGCTGACTGGCGGGTTGAGAATATCGGGGGTGAGGGTGGAGCATCGCCTTCCCACGGGCGCGCTCAAAGTTAAGGGATCGAGAGCCCCCATGGGGGTAAATTCTAATTTTGAATATGCGGTAGGTTTCCTCTTGGTCATCTTGGAGTTGCCATGCTCGTACGACACAAAGCATCGTACCGTCAAGCGTTAGAGCAATAACCATTTTGATTTCGGAAGTGGCTGGGAGATCCTTAGGTCCTTCCTAGGGTTTCTCCTCTGGCGCTACTTGCAAAGTCGGTCGCAACTGGGGCCGAAAGAGGGCCCTCTCCCCTACTTGAGGTTCTGCATGGCAAGACCTTGCCTGTGCGACGACAGCGTATACAGTAGGCATATCAAATCAGAAATCTTTATCGCATGTGCCTGCTGTATTTCCAGGTTCTCTTTCAGGTTGCGCCTCAGTCGTGCCGATGCTCGCGACGCCTTGCGCGCATTGGGCCCAGATTTTGCACATGTGCCCTGTTTGAACATGACGTTCGGGGGGCGAAGGCGGCTGACAGTTTATTCATCTAGTACACCGGCTTGCAGCCGAGGGGCAGGGCGTGGGCGGAGAGATGGGGTGCGCATGAGGCCCAAATGCTCTCCAGCGGAGTTCGAGATGTGACTTCGCGCCTTTTTGCGATGTTGTCTCGCATTCGAATTCTTGCCAGTGCTCTCATTGCCCAGTGGCCTTCGGCTCGGCCCACCCCGCCACCATGCCTGTTTTGTAGGCCTCGCGGAGACCTGTGGGTATCTTTGCGCGGGCCTCTCGGAAGCCTCTCGAAGGCGGTGTGCGGGGTGGCTTGGGGCCTCTCGGGGGCGTCTTGCGAGACTCGGGGAGCCTTCCGTGGGGCACACTGCTTGCCCAGGCGCCGTCGGGGCACCGTTGGGACACCACCGGGTCACCGCGCGGGCCGCCCGCCCAGCGCAGCACGAGGAAACCAGCACGACTTACGTCCTCCGTGCGCCTGGGTCGACTTGGGGAGGTCGCTCGCGGCTTCGCTGGCACGCCGAGCACGACGCGAGAAGTCTTGTTTCCAGCAACGGCGGAGCCCCATGGCACGACACGACGCGAACGACGAACGGCAGACGAACGCCAGGAGCCAGCGAGACGCAAACATGAGCGACGCACGACGCGAGCACGGACTACGATGTTCTGGTGTGGGCTGTGTCAGATGAGGTTTCCCCGCTCGAGCCTCGACTCAGCTCTGTGAGCATTTTTCTGCTTGGGAGGGGGACGGGGACGCAGAGAGGGGACGGGGGACGGGAGGAGGAACAGAAACGGGGCAAGGGGAAACGAATGATGAAGATGAAGATGACGGGGGAGGGGAGGAGGATAGGTCTGCTGAGAAGTAGGGTGAGGATGAGGATGGTGAGGAAACGCGTGGGGGGATTTTGGATTGCACGCGTGATGAACCAGCTGGCAGTCACGTACAGGCGGCGCTGCAGCTAGCAGAGGGCTTATAAAAGTCATCTGCACGGGCACCAAGTAGGCAAGTTCAGTGCAGTGAGTCCCACCGAACCACTTCCGAACTGAACTCCATCCTCCAAACCCCCTCGAAAGGCAGCTGGTCGATATCGCCCAAAGGTGGCGATGCAAGGCTTGCAGCAGCCGTCCATGACGGCGGGAGTCTGAAAGTCAGCAAGAGTGCGGTAAAATACGCATCTCCGACTCGCAACCGTTGTCAGGAAGAAAGCAGCTGAGCAGAGGCGGCAGTCCTGCTCGGATGCTGTCGACGTGACTCTGGTCACCAAGGTCTCCTCCATCCTCCTCCCACCGGGCGGAGAGACGGGTACCTGGCGCGCGGCAGGAATGAGAACATAACAAGACGCATTCTGACCTGATCAGCAAAACGTAGCGACGGGAGCCTAGTGTGCACGGAAGGCTCGAAACGAGACTGACGGCCGCCGTCGTTCTTTCCCCGAGCGTACTGGTAGTACACGCAGCGGGCGGGCGGCGGCCGCGTGGCGGGGCGCTCGCTGCTACTCTGCCGCGCCGCCCCCAGCCCCTCCACATCATCATCCTCCTGCCTTCCCATCCTGACTGCAAGCTCGTTCAGCAGACGAGCGTCGTCCCAAGAGAGACTGGCAGATTTGGGCTTCATGACACCGTCAAAAAAACAAGTAAATTATCACAAGACACATCTAGGTCCCCCGTCGGCCGATGTCCCCGACTGGGTGGATACTAACCTGTCAGGGAGTTCTAGGACGGATCGGCTCCACACCGGTACGGGCCTTCCAATGGCCCAACACAACACCTAATGGATGATGACGATTAATAAATGACCGGGGGTCGTGTTCACGCGGCGGCGCCCGGGATGACGATTAGAAAAAACCGGCCGCGGGCTAGAACATTTTTTTATCGTTCTCCCCCAGTCAGAAAATTATGCAGAAATAGCCGAAACAATGTTTTTGTTTAATTTTTCTCTCCCATTTGTTATTAATCGTCATCCCGCATTAGGTGAGAGAAGCATTGGCAAGTCAGGTACGACAAATGTGGGTCGGGCTGGCACAGGCTCCATCTGAGGAAACGGGGCAACCAACAGGCTAAAGTGAAGCGAGAATGGCGCAGGCTGTGAGATGGCTGAGGCATCTCAGTCCCCAGGGCCTGCTGCAACTGCAACGCGGCACCTCTACTCCTGAAACGATCTACCCCACCTACTATCCAATCCTGCCCTCCCAACGGTAACTGACTAGTCACGCGCATCGTCAAACAGCCCGATTCCGAAGTCGGGCTGCAACGTCCACGGGGCCACACTCCTGGAGATGCGCAATCTGCGACGCCCCCTGGCCTGCGCAACGCCTCGGTGAGCGCAACAGGCGAGAGGGGAGAAAAGATGGCACCAGGGGGCTCGGCGTCCTGTGGCTGCGGTATGCTGGTGCCTTCAAAGAAGGCCAGAGCTTCAGCATACTCTTGCTCGTCGGTAGCCTCGACTGGGCCTGGGTCCCGAGGCACGGCGGGGGGGGGGAGGGGGAGGAGGAGGACGACGAAGAAAAAACGAGAGTTACAAATGGGAGGGGGAGGTACAGGGAGGAGGAGGAGGACCGAGGAGGAGGAGGAGAAGGAGGAGAAGGATGAGGAGAAGGAGGATGCACGAACAAACGAACCCTATGGTGGTTGCTGTCTAGCAGAGCACTTGGATCGGCCCTTGCAGCCGAAGACTTGGGGTCGAGCCCACCCAAAAGAGACATAAGGTTTCGTGGACCCTGTCTACTGCCTGTGGGAACCACATAGTGATGCCAACGCTCGAGCAGCGGCCGACTCCCATCCCAGGGCTCTGAGCTGACCTACAAGTTCCGTGTTCGAGGCCCTTCTGGGGCGTTTAGGGAGCGGAGGTTGCGGAGACGGGGGAGGGTCAGGGCATCTCGGCATGGAGGTTTCATGCAGGGAGAGGGCGGGGGCAGGAATGGAGGGAGGATTACCCGTACACGCATTGGCAGTGAGTGGGGGCGAGTTCGGGATCGTATTTACGGGGGTCAGCACGGGGTCTACACCTACACTTGGGGGGGGGCTTCTAGGCAGGGTCATGATCCGTGCCAGGAGGAGAAGGAGCAGAAGGTGGAGGGCGAGGTACGTGTACGGGGAGGAGCAGCAGCAGCAGCAGCAGCAGCAGCAGCAGCAGCAGCAGCAGCAGCAGGCTGGAGGAACGGGAGGAGGAGGCGGCGGAGGAGGAGCGAGGAGGAGGAGGAGGAGGAGGAGGAGGTGATGAAGGCCGGCGCCGCGAAGGTGGGCGTGACGCTGGAGGAGGACCACGGCTCGCG